GAGTCGCAAACTCGTGAGGCCCAAAGGTCGTGCGCACGCAGGCGTGGCCCAAGCCGCACATGTGCGAGCTTACCCTAACCTGTACGAATGGTGGTGAGTTTTTGGGGTTTTTTTTTTAAAAAATGGCCATATGTTTTTGTTTTCAGCCCAAAAGTTTTCAAAATTCACATGATAATTGTCTCTTTAATATTTTATTATTTTTTTTAAATTAATGATTAAATATATAATATTTTAATTTTAAGATTATCCTAAATTATTATTTTATTATATTTTAATATTTATTAATTATTCCAATTATTTTTAATGTGATTTCTACAAGTGATTTATATGGATTTCATATGGTATAAATATGGGCTTATTTTATTTATTAGATTAATATTATTTTATTATAAGTCTATCCCTTAGGATTATTTAATTAATTTATTTGGGATAAAATATTTATTTTATTTTGTATTTATCCTAGACTAAAACAGAAGTTTATCTAGGTTAATATTTTATTATTTATTTCAAGATTTTTGTACTCATTTAGAGTACTTGAAAAAGAGTATAAATAAATCTTTATCCATAGGATGTAAAACACACCTTTGAGAATAAACTTGAGTAAATTCTTGAGAACTTTGCCTTTCTTTCTTTTAGTATTTTTGCTAAAATTAGCTTTATTAAGTTCTTTAGGAAATAAAAGTCTTCAAAAGTCTTATTGAGCCAATGAGCAGGGATCTATTTGTGGATTCAATTAGAGAAGGGAGTTTTATTCTACTTAGTTATTGTTTCGATATTGCATACGTTAAGTGGGTTTTCAAGAATAGATTTGATCCTCCCCATACCCTCCTGTGTCATCTGGTATCAGAGTTTTAGCTCCTAGAAACCCAAATCTATCTTTATTTGCTTTAGTATTTTGCTCATTAACAATTCAAATTAATTTTTGATTTGTTCGTATTGTATCCTGCTTGAATTCATATATATCTGTTCAATTCAAGTAATTCGTATTATTCCAAAAAAAAAATTCATATATCAAAATACAAAAAAAAAATCCTAATTGCACACCATAAGGCAATTGGCATATCGTTTGCATCATGCATAGCAAAAGTAGAGTAACCGCCGATTAGATTGTGCAAAAATCATCGAGAGAAAGAGTAAGCCATCTCGTAGGTGCGAGTGAAAACTTTTATAACTTTTTTATTATATCTACATCATTCATACCGCATTGCACATTCCACTCGTACTTGCACTGTTTGGGAATCTAGAGTTTGTTAGGAACTTTTCTTTGTGTCCATTTCTCCTAACTTGTAAGGACTCAACTAAGGGGATCCCAACTCCAACGCTTAACTTGACTAAGAGAGTGAGTGTGGTAGTAGAGACGAGTGTAGTAAGACAACATGAATTTTGACGCCGAGACATTAACGCAGTTCCATATGCGCATGTGTTCCACCAAACCCCGGTACCATCCTAACACCTTCCACTACTTTTAGCTTCCTTATTGTATCTAGAATCACTACGCAGTAGTGAAATGGATTCGAGGAAGAATACTTTGGAAGAAAGGAGGGATGATATGACCCCAGGAGGGCATTTTAATTACCCAGGAGGTAACCATCATATTTCTTGCCAATATGGAAACAAGGCCCAAGAAAAGCCTGCCCCAAGAAAATGAAGTCGAGATTCGACGACAAAGGCCAATCCTATGAAGCCCAAGGATCCTGTTCGTGCAAGCCTAGATCGGGTAAGATGGATCATCGATGCCATCAAGACCAGGAAGCCTTATGGGCCACCAAGATAATCGGCCCAAAGTAGCATCAACAACGACGAGTTGTGGTCTTTCAGATTGATCCTAGAAGACGATAGTGGCGTGTCCGAGACGACGCACAAAGGGGAGATGCCTGCACGCAGGTGACCTGGGTCATCCGACCTGCCACCTGGCCTTCTAGGCCCAACTTTTGGCCTAGCAAGCCGCACACGTGAGAAGCATGCACAGCCCATGCTGCACACCCATATGCGTGGGCCACCTAAGGCCCGTTGAGAAGGCCCGAAGATCGATCATCACCCCGAAGCCCAATCCAATGGACCCAAACCTGAGAGAGACAGAACTGGGCCAAACACCCAGCTCAGCAACCCGGCCCAATAGCTCGGCCTAGCCGCAATCACAGGCCCAACCGAGGAAGAACCTGTGCGAGCCACGAACTCATGAGGCCCAAAGTTCGTGCGCGCGGGTGGGCCCGACCTAAGTCGTACGCACGTGCGGGCTTCCCCTAACTCAAATAAATGGTGGTGAGTTTTTGGATTTTTTTTAAAAAATGGCAATGTGTTTTTTTTTAGCCCAAAAGTTTTCAAATTC